GGAAAAAAATCCCCCTCTGACTACGAAGCATGGCCAGAGCTGAGACTGGAAGGTGTTCCTGAGAGAACTAAGATTTGCTGAGCATGAGAGCCTGCTCATCACCCTCTCACCCTCCCAATCACTTCACCCCTTTTTTAAAAGAAGCAACACAAAGAGAACAGTGTCATCTTGGGTTCAGAGGAAATGACTGTCAAATACTGTCACTCAAATCCTCTTTAATGACAAAGTAATGGCACAGATTGGAAAAGAAAGGGATTTTTAACTATACGAAGGCAATGACAAACAAATATATTTTTGTTTCAAGACCAAAATAAATGGTCTCTGGAGCCTGAGTGCCTGGGTTCAAATTCTGTAGCATTTACCAGCTGTGTGACTGAGCAAGTTACTCAGCTGCTCTGTGCCTCAGTTTCCTTATGTGGAAAATGATAACATTAACAGTTCCTTCCCCCAGGTTATTGTGAACATTAACACCAGGGGCTACTCAAAAAAAAAAAAAAAATAAGACCTGTGGGATACATACGATACTTATAATATGAAATCATGTTCAGAGACTATCTCTAGTGACCTTATATTTTCGACAGTTGACAAGAAACATTTTATGTAGTAAAATGAATACCTCTATAGGGATGGCTTACTTTTCTTGGATCATGTCTAGTGAGAATCAAAGAATCATTATCAGGTAGACTCGGGGTAGTCCTGTCCTTCCCCTCCCCTCTCCACCTGCAGACTTCACTATATTTAATCTGCTCAGACCCCACCCTCCAGTCCACTGCCAAGGACACAGGAAAGGCCAGTGAACAGAAACAAAATGCTAGGCATGTTTTTATCACTTTTATTGTGTAAATATCACATTATTAATAAAATTGGAAAAAAAAATTTTTCCTTGAATCCTATCGCTTTGGCTCTGAGTGCTTGGCGAGGGAAGTCAGTGAGGTGTCTGGATGTCCTGAACAGGCTCAATACCACCGTCTACTTCCTAATCTCTGAAGCAGGATGCTTTAATGCAGAGGAAATTTTTAAAGGTTTCCTTATTGATTACTTTAAAAATTCATGGAGACGTTTATTAAGGATTTGGTAATTTTTTTTTCTCAAGTTGAATACCTACATCATCACCACCAACAGTAATCAAGTTTAAGACTACCAACTCACATTTCTGGATTTATGGAATTAATGAAATTAGATTTTAAAAAAGAAGATAGTTGAGGCCAGGCAACCTTGAACAGTGACTGTACCTGCTGCAGAATAAGGCAGTTGGAATTCTGGTACAGGATTTGTCACTAGAAAGTCATGTGGCTTTGGGTAAATCCATCTCACCAAACTGAGACTTGGATCCTTTACTTTAAAATAAGGTTATCTGAGGTCCCCTTCAAGCTGTAAAATGTCATAATTCTTCAACCCACGATATTAACAGTTCCTCTGGTGCTGCAACTTCTCCAAAGCATCAAGAAGGCATAGGGAGTAAAGAAAACATTAACATTATCCAGGTACTTTAAAATTTCCTAAGATTATTATTCAGCCTGCTCTACTTTTTAAACCCTAAACAGAAGGTAAACAGAGCCTCACCTATAAACATTATCTTATGCCAACTCAAGAACACAATGGGGTGCCCCACCCAGCTCATCTGTCCACATCACCAGTAGTGCTCAGGAAAGGGGGGACTTATCACGGGTCAGGAGCCCCATGAAGGAGGGCAAGAAGTCCACTAGGTTCATCTCTCAGAAGCTTCTCTTCGAAAACTGAAATATGTCCTCATGGCTGGGCAAGAGTTCATTAGTGACAATGCAAGTGACAAGCTGAAACTTTAGCTCAAGATGGCCTGCATTATATACCACTGTCTGGAGCAGAGATGCTAAAGTCCTGCAGCCTAGCCCCACACTCTATCTGAACTACTGAACTCTGCCTTACTCATGATGGGCACCTATGCTGGCCAAGTGATGACTGCTTCCTATTCTGAGTGTTGCAAAGCATGCATTTACAAAGCTTTTGATCTAATGTCTTCCTGTTCTGACTCACTAATATTCATGCCTTTTCTTCATTTACTTACACTCCCTGTGGCTTCTGCAGTGAAGCCTCTCAGCTCAAAACACCTCAGTTGTCCAATATGGTTTTTTTTGTTGTTGTTTCTTCTAGAAGAATCACTGTCTATTTACACAATTGCTGAAAAAACAGCTTCAAATCTTTAACCATAGTTGAAGGGTGATAGGAAACCACAGCTAAAGACCAACTAGTCCAGAACAAAACAGGCTGTCATGAAATAGTTCAAGAGATAAAAACAGTAGTAGATAATACTACATTATGCAAATAGGTAACTAATGCAGAAACAAGAGGACTTTTTTTAACAATCTTTTCATAATGAGGAAAATACTTTTGAACAATGGCGAGGTCATGATCAAACAGAGTTTATCAATCTCAGATGGACAGAGCAATGTAAAACAAACATTGTATATAAGCAATTTGAATTTTTTTTTCCATCCCTAGATTTCATAATAATGGTAACATTATTTCTTTGGTATAATTTTATTTATTTATTTTTTGTTCATTTACAATTTTATTTTTTATATTATTTTAAAAAATTTTTTACATCACTGTTCATTTTTAAACAACATTTGCTTCCCCCCAACCCCTCAGGTGTAGTCCCCATAGAGTTTCCTTCACCAATGCACCCATGCACTATCACCTCAGTCCCCTGTGCTCTGATCCCTCTCCCTCCTCCTCCCCTGCAGTATGTCTCTGATTTATAATTGTCCATTTTTGCTTTGTTGTGTTTTGTAATGTTATTATTTTTTTACACTGATGTCTTATTGGGTTTCCCTATATTCCTGCTATAAGTGAAACCATTCGATATTTTTCTTTTTCCTTCTGGCTTATTTCACTGAGCATAATTCCTTCTAGTTACATCCATGTTGCTGCAAATGGCATGAGTTTATCTTTTATGATTGCTGAATAATATTCCATTGTGTATATATGCCACATCTTCTTGACCCAGTCATCTTATTTTTGTGCATTTGGGTTGTTTCCAGGTTTTACCTATTGTAAATAGTGCTGCAATAAACATAGGGGTGCAGGTAGGTGTTCTTTTGCATCAATGTTTTTGTTTCCTTTGGGTAGATCTCTAGGAGTGGAATTGCCGGGTCGTATGGTAGCTCCATTTTTAGTAGACTGAGGAACCTCCAGACAGCTTTCCACAGTGGTTTGTCCAACCTGTTTTTGTTTTGTAATATGAACAACTTCCAATCACCCTAGAAAGTAGGGTTGGAATTTCAGTGAAATTGTCTGCATAATCTATCCTACAGCCTTTTGTCACAGCTGACAGTTACCACAGATGAAACAGAAGGACTCCTTCTTGGGGATGCTCTCCTCTCAGAGACATCCCCCTTCTCAGAGATAGAAAAAGTCTAAATGTGGGTTTATCAGTCAGCCAATTTAATTCAAACATTTATTCATGCTCCTACTATGTGCCAGGCACTATGCTAGGTACTTTAATCAATATTAACCCTTTATATCTCACAGCTACAGATGGCACTGAATATCATTAGCCCATTTTACAAATAAATAAATAGTTTTCCAAAAGAATAAGCAGCTTGCCCAAGTAATTCAGACCAAGGTCTCCAGCTTTATGAGACCTGTGTTCTTTTCATTGTCTCACTGGAAACTATTTTTTTTTAAAGATTTAATTTATTTTTATACAAGAGCTGGGGTACAGGCCAGAGGAGCGAGAGGGTGAGGATTCACCAGAGATAGAGCAGGGAGCAGAACAGTCAGACAGCAGAAATACACTACTGAGGGGAGCAGCGGGCACGACAGGAGAGGTCTGCTACACCATGTGGGATTCTCGCCAGCTGGCAGGGATCGAACCAGCACTGCAGAGGCTGCAGACAGCTTCATAGCACGGCGCTCAACCTGCTGCACCACTGGGGAGGCCCTCACTGAAAACGCTTAAGAAAACCAACATCCACAGTGAAATGTTCACTTGGAAATGAATAGTTACAAGGTTATAGTGTGCCGGTCTTACATGTGCTCATCCAGTTAATTATAAATCTATAAACTGGTTATAGAAAATGCTTAACACAGGACAACTTATAAAGAGAAGTTGTTTGGAAACCTATAATATGAATTGACTTTAAAAAATACTGATTTTTTTTTTCTTTCAAATAATTTATCACCCTTTAACGTCTCTCCTACCTCTCCCACCACAAAGGCAGTATAATCCAGGAAAAATACACCAAAATTGAATTCATAAATGAAGTTTAGCACTCTGCCCTCTGATGAAGATGCTACAGATAAATGGCCTGAGGATGATGAGCAGGAGGAAACGAAACACTGGATAATCCAAGGATTGACAGGAAATCACTAAATGATAGGCATGGTACCTATTACCTATATAATTTGTCATTTTACCTCCCATGGAGACTTAAATCTTAAAGTAGAAAGAGAAAATACTTATAGTTTTAATTAGGAATCAGCTCTATCAAGCTTCCATATAAACAGATCCTACCCCCACCATCCCAGGAATAGGAAGATTGCCTGATAGAATAGGACCTCACAGAGCGAAGGGCTGAATGAGACTTTGATCACCATCCAGTCCAACACCCCCAATTTACAAGGAATCTCTGGCTAAATCAAACAACGCCATCAACCAATGTCAGCGGCAGAAGGAAAGCCAAGCTCTCTCAGTGTTCTTTTCAGCCCTGAGCCACTGCAACCAAAGCTGCATCAGCAGAGACAACACCTACTCACCACCACAAACATTCATCAGGATCCAATTTACACAGAGTAACCCCGGAAATACCACGGAAATACCCAATAGAATGACCACGGCTTGCCGATTTGGCAGTATATTCTGCTTGCCCCTAAGACTCAAATTACTTTTCATTCGCATCATTTGCTTATATCCATAGAAACTGGCCAAATGCTTTTCAAATATATTACACACTCAGATTTCCAAAGAGAAAATGCTACAAAAACCACCAGCATGAAATTAATGAGAATGGAACTAGTACCTTCCCCAGAAAGCAATCTCCTGGATGCCTTTCGAGTAGATGGTGTCGCTGGCGTCATCCAGCCCGTTGGTGATCCCACTGGAATAGCCCATCACTATTCCACCATCTGCTGAGACGCTCAGGATGTCTTGCTGTCCTCCTGCTGATGTCCTCTCAAGGAACTGACCACCTTCCTTAATGCGCTGCTGTATCATTGGCGTAAGAGGCATTTCAAAGCTAAAATAGCTATCAGGCTCTGAGTATAATGTTTCCAAGGATTCAGCACTGTAGTATAAAGAAGTGTTGTCCAAAATGGTTTCAAACTGGGAGCTGTACACATCAGTGGAATCCTCTGCATACCCGGACCCAAGGATGTCATCCTCTCCTCCCCTGTAGTGCTCCTCTTGATCAAGAATCCTGGAAAGGTGGTAAGAATAAAGAATTTCTATAGTTGACTGATTTTTTCTTTTATTTTCCTCCCTCAATTATATAAAATTATAACATTCCACAGAGCTAACACTTTCATTCACTGGAGTTATGTCTTAATAAATATTGTACAAGGAAGAGATCACTGAAACCTATCTTGGTAAAAGAATTCTTAATGTACATGTGCTACACTGGCCTCCCAGTAATTCAATACAGTTTCAAGTTAGTTTCTTAGGAGGCAAATACATGTTTCCAATGAATATTTGAATAAAATATTAAATTCTCATTTTAGCCAACTAAATTCTACATATTCAGATTACTTACTGCTACCATCATTCTTAATTTTATGAAGCAGATAAATATACTGTGTTAACTTAATGGACTAAAAATACACTAAACTGTCATTAGTCTATTACTACTTTCTGATTTAAATAAAATCATATGTCCTAACAAGAATATATATATATTAAAATCCAAAGGCTGCCCCCTGCTGACAATAAGGCAATACTGCAGGGAGATTACAGGTCCAAAACCAATGGGGGAGGAGGGGCGTGCAGGGAATAAAGAACAACAGACACATTTATCTATAGTAAGGCTAACAAAAGAGAGAAACCTAGAAAGAATTTATAAAATTATATGAACAGGACATTAATTAATGTTGTTCAACATGTTCTTCAAATATTAAAATTGAACATTTAGGATAACTAAGTAAAATTTAAAAACTCAGAAAGAACAAGAGGTCAAGAGTTAGAGGAACCTGGAGCTGAGTCATGGATGTGCCAGTAGGAGACTTTACTGATCCTCTCTGTGAGGTACAGATTTCCATAAATAGGAGTAAAACAGAAATAGGTATAGAACTACCTCATAAGTAAACTGCATTCCTAGGTATTATCAGGATTCACATTCAACAATACAGTGTCTCGGCTATTTATAAATTACCCAAGTTCTACCATGTACACGTACTAAATACTGTTCCAGATTAACACTTCTCAATGGCTTTCCCTTGCACTTAGAGTCAAAAAGAAAGTTCCCCTGATGAAGCTCCTCCCTCCACATTCCCCATCACTGCCCTATGCACATCCCCATGCTCCAGCCATAATGGTGGAGTTTCAAATCTTCAAACTTGCCTTTGCCTCACTCAACTCCAAAACGCACAAACAGTTTCACCATCCTGCACTCCTCCTTTGCACAAACTGTTCTATCTAGAATATTCTTCCTTCCTAGTCTTTCAGTCTATCATTTCCACAGAAAGGTATTCCCCAAGCCATCAACTGAATTAGCCTCTCTCCTCTATTCAAATTAATCCTCCTGTTATAGCTGTGTTCTTCTTCATGGAACCCAGCAAAATTTGTGATCCTCTACTTACTCATGTGTTTATGTGGTCAGTGGTTATCTTCAGCAGTAAACTTTATGAGGACTGTGACCACAGGCCATATCTATTCTGAACATTTTTTTATGTCCAACATCTAGCAAGGACACAGAAGATAATAGAAAAACATGTGGGGCAGCTCTCCTGCCCACCTGTGACCAAGCAGGTGCTTCTTTTTTTCTTTCTCCTTTTCCTAATAAACTTGTCCTTTTAAAATGTGAGGGAAAAAGAAGAAAAATGTGGAAATAAAGGAGGGATAATTAATCAGCACAATAGCAAAATTCATATTTCATTAAGACTATGATTACTGAGCCACGTGCCACTTATCAAGACAGCTGTTGAGGGAAGTCTGGAGATGGTTTGTATTGGGGGTGAGAGGAGAGTGGAAGAAGAGGTGCCCCAATAGCCATCCTCAACAAGTACGGCTCTCGGTGGATTTGTTAATTAACTAAAGAGGAAAAGATAATTCTTTATACCAAACAAACAAGTAAAACATAAAATGCCCCTCAGCCTTAACACATACGAACTATAAAATGTGTCATGATAACTGGTGGAAGAAAAGATAACAAATTTGAAATGACAGTATACAACAAATGACTTCACCACATGGAACACTGAATGGTCAGACTATGAGCAAAGGAAGTGAAGAGAGACGGAACACATCTTCCTTATATCCAGTTTCTCAGTTGGTCCAGATGTATGAAATGAAGGGAAAGACCAGGAGATACTGAGATGCCAACCAACTTTACTTCTCAGGTTATATCCAATAACAAATACTACATGGAAGACAGGGTTCCCCAAGCAGTGCCATGGAACAACTGAATTGGAAACCTTCTGACCTTCTGACCTTCTCACTTAACGTCTGATCTCACCTCCTTTCTAAACCTAGACAATAGAGTCAGTCCACATGTTCACACACACTTGAGGGCTGTGTGTAGGCACTAGGGTTTAAAAACAAGAGCTGCCAAGTTAGGATGCAATGACTAAAAGATATGTCAAAAGAGTCCAAATCTTTTCCTATTGCGAAAGATAATTGTGGGGTGTTTCAGTTGTCTTGATGTTGGAAAACCTGAAAGCTGCCAAATAGAACAAAATGTCAGAAATGGATTCATACAGCTTAGTGTGCACAGACTCCCACAACCCTGCTTCCCTAGGCTTATGTCTGCTAGACAACTTTATAATAAGATAACTCCACTAACTTAGAAACTTAGGAGGAGTCTAGCTTACAGTAACTGCTCTTCCACTCTATGGTAATAGGACCCAGGACACTATGAGTTGTGATCACAGGGCCAAGCACAAGATAAAGTTTCTTAACTATCTTGCCAGGTGTCGCAGCCGGTAAGACCCCTTTGAGAGCTTACCTCTCCTTGTCTCTCTCCGGTTCCGGTTTCTTCTCAAGATGTTCCTTGTTTTCCTTTAGAAAGACTTCATCCTCTCCACTCTCAATGAGAGGCACAGGGGAAAATATCCCTGAGCTAGTGCCAGGTCTCTTAGCCGAAGCTTTCCAGGTTTCATCCCAAACACTCTCAGTTACTGAATCACACAAGCTGGCAGATGAAAGATGGCCTGGCACCTTGGAAAACTCTTTGCCTTCAAGAGAAGTTGTCCTTTCTGATGATACCTCAAAATCCATAGGATGAAGTGTTTCTTTTTTCTCCCCTCCTGTCCACACTATTTCTACCCCTTGAAATTCCACATGTTTCACCCGGCCTGGGCGCCCCATGGAGCCCCCTATGGATTCTCTCCCCATATCAGACCTCCTCTCCCTCAAAACGCCAATGCTGCTAGACGAGTTGTGGATTGTCTCTGAGCTGCCCAGAATGGACACAGGACAAGAAGTCTCCTGTGCATGAAGCGCCCCTTTCCTGCCATCACTAGTTGTCTGGGAAAGCTCTTCCTGAGTCTCTCCAGTTAACCGTGTAGACAGATCCTTCTGGACGCTAGGATAAAAAATCTCCCCAGTCGTAACATCAGCTGAAAGAGGTATATGTGGTGATTTGTCTTGGCTGGTAGGCAACAGTCTGTTAGCTTTCTGTGTTCTGTGACTGGCAGTGGTTGGCTCCTTTTCCACCAGGTGAACTGAAAAACTAGAAACAGCATCTTTGTTCAATACCTTTGTAGCCTGTAATGTTCCTGAAGTTATTCTGGCTTCTGTGTCTTTCAGAGCTGAGATCAAAGAGTCAATGGGTTGTAAACTTTGTTCCTTGAGGTGACTTTGAGAGGGGGGCTCTGTGACATTGTTTGGTCCTTCTGTAATACTGTGGAGCCCAGAGTGGTGACCAGCAGGAAGCTGAACCCCCTGCTGCCCTTGTGGGTTGCATGATGGAGATTCTGCATCCAACTCAAGAGTTCTCAGGCCTTCTCCGCTTTCCTCCATGGTCCCATATTCTGGAAATTCATTTGTGACATTCGGTGGGAGTAAAGTGCTTCCTCCATGATCACCTACAAATAGAACAGAATGGACTCGTTTTGAAAAAACAGGTTCCAATGTGTACTAATAAATATCCACATGTGTTAGGTATATAATAATGCTTATTTACTGAATTCTTTCACCTTCTTCTCCCTACCACCCTGAAACACACACTGCTCATAGCCTTGCCAGTCATGCCTTGCATGAGGGTAACCACAAAGGTTTGGGCCTCGAAGGAGAAAATCTAAACGTGCCATGTTTATCCTGCACATGATAGAGGCCCACGCATGCCAATCAGTTGCTGCATATGCAAAAAGAGATTAGCATAAGGATCTGTATTATCTTCCAAATACTACTTATAAAATAGCAACTAAAATATTAATTTGGGGAAGAACACCAGATAGCCCTCTGATCCAGCCAACAGCTTCTGTGCAGTGCCATCTTGGACATGGAGCCTCAGAAAAAAGATACAATCTATTTAAAATCAATAAATATTTTTTCAGCTGAAACCTCCCCTTCACCTTTGGGTCTCTATGGGGTGAAAAATGCTTTTGGAATATCTACGGAGAATGAAAGTGAAGTCAAAATGGAATAGCAAATAATGTGTTAAGAGAAATTTGAGGATCCAAATGCATAAAATTTAAATAGTATCTCATGCACAATCCCAATACATGAAGCAATGAAAACAATAGCTAGCATACATTGACGATATTGAGTCACATTTATATTTTATTAAAATGGCAGCCCACTGAGAACAATGAAGATGTTTTATCAAACCAAAATTTAAATTATAGCCATATCAATGCTAGTATCTAATTTTTCTCTCAACTTGATTTGTTTACTCTGTATGAAGAAAATCTTCCATCTACATTAAAAATGTGTGCTTACTTTGACAACTTGAGGAAAGAGCATATAACTGTTGTTAATTTTTTTAAATGCTGCAAATGCAAACCTTCCTTTTTAGTGAAAGATCTGATATATTTCTGAATATGTACACTAATACCACATGATAGACTTATTCCAAGGCATTCCACGATAGGTAACCTGGAAGTATTAGCTAACACATGGCATCCCACAATAAGGTGAAACTGTGATAGCTATACAACTGAGTGTATATTACCTCATATTCTATTTTTAAAATAATTTGAAATATATTTTTAAAATTAAACTTAAATGAAGTGTTGAGGGAGTCCAAAAAGCACTTCTCTGTGATGGCAATATTTATAATTCACAAAACAGAGTTAAGGGAATGTAGCTTGCTGAAGTCTGAAGAGAAAGAAATTTTCAAATCCTTAGTTTGAAAAAAGGGAAGACAGTTAAAATTAAGATCCCTCTTTCTAGGTGGCATATTGACATTTTTCATTTTTCAGGAGAAAATGCTGTAGGACTTCTAATTTTTTCCCTTTTTAAGATTCATGGCTTTTAATATATTTACAAAACTCTGCAACCATAACCAATATCTAATTCTAGAACATTTTAATTAATCTCCAAATAAAATCATATCCATTACTGTCACTTCCCATTTCCCATCTCCTTAGCTCCAGGTAACCACCAACCTATTTCCTGTATGTATGGGTATCTATTTCGGATATTTCTTATAAATGGACTCATATAATACATGGCCATACATGCATTTGTTACTGGCTTTTTTTAACTTAACACAATGCTTTCAAGGGTTATCCACACTGTGGAATAAACTACCAGAACTTCATTCCTTTTTATTGCTGAGTAATGTTCCATTGTGTGGCTATTCCACAGTTTCTTTATCCACTCATCAGCTGGTGGGAATGTGTCATTTCCACTTTTTGTCTATTATGAATACTGAACCTTTGTACACAAGTTTTTCCACCTAAATTTATTTTCAATTGGGTACACACCTATGAGTGACATTCTGGATTATAAACTGACTCTATGTTTAGTGTTTTGAGAAACTGTCAGTTTTTGAAAGCAACTACAACATTCTACATCCCCAGCTAAGTCTGGGGGTTCCATAATTGTCCATCTTCTTTATTATAGCCTTTTAATGGGTGTGAAATGATATCTCACTATAGTTTTGATTTGCATTTCCCGAGTAACAAGAACAAGAAAATGAGCATCCTGTCATTTACTGTTTGTATATCTTCTTTAGAGACATCTATTCCGATTCTTTACCCATTTTATAACTTGGTTACTTGTCTTTTTAATATTGGGTTGCACAAGTTCTTTTTATAATTCTGTACAGAAGTTCTTTATCAAATACCTACTTAACAAGTATTTCTTACTTTCTGGAGCTTGTCTTTTTCCTTAGCTGGCAGTGGCTTTTACAGCACAAAAAGTTTTTAATCTAGGTGAAATCCAATTTATCTGTTTTTTTTTTCTTTCATTGCTTGTGCTTTTATTATGTACCAAGTTTTGTCTAGTTTAAGGTCACAAAGATTTTTCCTATTTTTCTTCAAAAAGTTTTACAGTTTTGGCTATTACATTTAGATCTTTAATCCAAGTAAAGTAACTTTTTTGTATATAATGTAAAGTAGACCTCAAACTTCATTCTTTTGTGTATGGACAGCCAGTTGTCCCAACACTATTTGTTTACAAAATTATTCTTCCCTCCTGAACTTATTTGCTTGATAGCTTTCTACAATTGTCCATAAATATAAATGTTTACTTCTGGACACTCAATTCTACTCCACTGAGGAGCTAGACGTCTATCTTGATGTCAGTATAATATCATCTTTATTACAGCAACTTTGCAGAAAGTATGATTCCTCCTACTTTGTTCTTTCTTTTCCAGGTTGTTTTGGCTACTCTGGGCTCCATGCATTTTCCACATGAATTTTAGGATTAAGTTGTCAGACAGCTGAAAGGTTGGTAGGACCTGGAGTGAATCTGTAAAATACTAGCATCTTAATAATAGTATTGTTATCTTTTGATCCATGAACTATGAGCTGTCCTTCCATTTACCTATTTCTCTTTAATTTCTTTTAATGATGTCAGTGTTTTATAATTCAAAATTCAATATTACTTTTGTTAAATTTTCCTTGAAATATTTTATCTTTTTGATACTATTAAAAAGGATTGTTTTTTCAAATTTCACATTAAGAATACTCATTGCTAACATATAGAAATATAGTTGGTTACTGTATACTGAACTTATATACTAGAGCCTTGGAGAACTAATTAGCTCTTTTGTGTATTCATTAGGATTTCATATATACATAAATATGTGACATCATATATATAATATAGGGTTTCATATATATGCTTTTATATATATGTAAAATCATGTTATCTGTGTATAGAGGTAATTTTACTTTTTCCTTTCCTATCTGGATCCCTTTTATTTCTTTTTCTTCCTAAGTGCTCTGGTTAGAACAGTTGAGTACAGGTATTATAAACAGACATTGTTCCCGGTTGATCCTGATCTTAGGGAAAGCGTTCAGGTTTTCACCATTGAATATGGTGTGAGCTGTATGTTTTTTTTTCATAAATGCCAGAAACATGTTAAAGAAGACACCTTCTACTCCTAGTTTGCTGAGTATTTTTATCATTAAAAGGTGTTGAATTTTGTCAAATGCTTTTTCTCTGTCAATTGAAATGCTCATATGGGCTTTCCCTTTTATTCTAGTTACATAGTATATTACATTAATTGATTTTTATATACTACACCAACCTTGCATTTCTGAAATAAATTCCTACTTTTTAGATGTTGCTAGATTCAGCTTTCTAGTATCTCTCTCTCTATTCATAAGAAATGTTGGTCCGTGGTTGTCTTGTATTATCTTTGTCTGATACTGACATTAGGGCAATGCTGATTGTACAAAATGAACTAGAAGTATTCCACATGAACATTTGTTTGCAGCATTTTTACACTTTACAAACATTTTTCATGTTCTATACTTTTCTTAGGCTTTTAACAGTTTTCCTTAGTTGGGGGACTTTAGTTCTGTCAGCACTTGAAAGCTGTAAATTTATTGTTAAAATGCAATGAGAGAAAAAAGTGAACAATCCAAAAAGATGTTTTTCTTTTTCTTTAACACAGTAAAACAGCTTAAATAATGAGAGAAGTATTCAATCCACAGTAAAAAATATTTCCTTTAAATTTTATAATGCTTTTAATTAATTCTTTTTAAAAAATTATTTTATTTTATATAATTCTTATATCATTTTTCATTTTTGCACAATGTATGCATTTTTATTTTGGTTATATTCCCCATACAATTCCCAACCCCCTAGACAGAGTATAACTTTACAAAAACTGGAGGATCACAGAATATAACATTTCAAAGGTTGAAGGGGTTGAAAAATTAATTCAGCCACCTTCAGTCTGTTAAGAAAACAGACTCATAGGAATGACAATACTTAACAATATATAACACAACAAATAAAAATCACAGCTTATCTACTCTAACTCTGCTATACTTCATTTCTAAGAGCAATATTGTTACCAAACATAATAATGAATGAAAAAAAATTCTCCCAGCTGTGGCTTCTGCAGACAAGTAACCTTAAATATCATATGGATGTTGGTCAGAGTACCCATCAAAAGATTCAACATAATGACAAAATTTTCTTTTCTAATAAGGTACCCCTCCCGTTAGACTGCAGTTTATTTGGGCTGTTAGCATTCCTAGTCAGCACTTCAACTGTCTTTAAAAGTAAACAAAACTTTGTAAAGTATTAACCTGACCTTTTCACTTAGAATTTTTGATTTATTCCTCATGTCTAAAAATTGAAATTTTATGTGAGAATGATTTTTAAAAATGATTAATTCTTAACTTTTAGTTTGTTCCTTTTCACCTTTAAAATAGGACCACAGATATTTCCCATTAGATGCCCATGGTTTCCAAATTTCATCCACCAAATTCAACCATGATTACCTACTATAGAAGATTCAAACTAGAATATTGCCAAAGCATGAAATGTCTCTTTATCAAGTTAGAAAGCTCACTCTGTCAGGATGTGAAGGATGTAGAGGGGAGAAGGGAAAAGCGTAAACAGCCTGAGGAGTAACAGCTCAGGCTGCCAGCAACAGCACAGGTGGAATGGTGAATGT